GGGGGGGGGGGGGGGGGGGGGGGGGGGGGAGAACACACCAGAGCCGCGTTAGTAGCGATGCCCCACCTCGCCCCAAGCTGCAGCCCCTCCAGCCTGAGCAGGCTTCCCGGGCAGAAAGCTGGCTTTCAGAGTGCTCCCACTTGGAGGAGGCCAGGGAGGGGCAGCGAGTGCAGGAGGAAGTGCACCGCGTGCGTTCCCCTCTCCCTCTGACCACAGGCATTTTACCAGCAGCCAATTAGGGGGTGCTGGAGGTGTGCAGCTGCCATCTCCCCAAAGTGCAGGCACTGGCAGCCCAGGAAGGCCAAGGGCCCAGGGCACAGAGGACCTCGGGGCGAGAGGCAGGCAAGCTCTCCCTTAGCATTTGCAGTTGTTACAGCTTTTATTTCAAAAGGTGCACACACCACATTTCACATTCGGAGCATTTGCAATGCAGCCTTGCTGCAGCAGAAACGTATTTCTTGTCCTTCTCCCACGAGACACTGGACAAAGGCGGTGCCACCGAGCAGGGCGGTCATCAGGAGGGAGTGGGCAGCTGGTCCGGAAGGGCGTCTCGGCACCGCAGCAGGATTCTTGCCGGAGGGAACATGTGTTAATGGGTGAAGAACAAGATTCTCATTTCTAACTTTCAGAGCCATTCTCGGCCCAGTGGAGTGCACTCATCCGCCGTTGCACTTGGATGTCCGCTCCAGACATCACCATGGAGACTGTTAAAGCTTTGATTGCCCCACTGATCGGTCTTCCCACCTGCAGCTCGCGGCCCGCGCAGCCAGCGGCCTGTTCATGTTCACCACCAGCGGGGCCCGAGGGCCCTCAGAACCGCCGCAGGGGGCAGCTTGCTTTTGGTCACCTCCTTTTGGACACGACGCGGGTTTTTGCTTCAGCAAAGTTGGAAATCAAAAGCACCACCTAACCAGTCCTTCAGCTAATCATTTATTACAGTAACACCACCCCTTTGCAGGCTCTTTGAGGCGGGGAGGGGGCCGAGGGGAAACCCTGGGCAGGCTGCCCCGGGCCCTTCACCGCCGGCCGAAGCGGAAGCTGAAGCCGCCTTTCTTCTTGCCGTAGCCGCTGAACTCGTCGGCCAGCGTCCCTAACGGGCTACTAGCCGTCTCGCCATCAGCCAGGAGAAAGCCGGCGACCTCGCGGCCATCATCCTGCCTCCTGAACCGGAGCCTGAAGCCGGCATGCGCTCGGCCCGACATCTGCAGCTCCTTGGCCATGACGAGCAGGGCTTGTCGGTGTGGAGCTCTCAGCCACTGCGAGGAGCCCCACGGGAAGTGGGCTGCGTGTCCCCCCGCCAGGTCGGCCCATCTCATTCTGCCGCCAGTGCCCCCCGTGGTGTCCATGGGCGCTTCCCTGTCCAGGAGAGGAAAGCAGGCGGCCAGCGGCAGGAGGAGGAGGCAGGACATCAAGTGAAGGCGTACCATCTGGCCCAAGAGGAAAAGGGAGAAGTTACAGGCTGCTCCCGTGGACCCCGCACAGCACAGGTCAGCTACTTCCCAGGGCCCGGGCAGCCATCAGAGGCGTAAGCCGGGGGCTCAGCGGGGCCCAGCTTGCAAGCAGCGGGAAGAAGTGTCACTGCGTCGGGGGACCGGGCCTGTATTCCATTGCAGGCGTAGGCGCTGGTTGCACCAACTAGCTGGTCTCCCTCTCCTGCCACCTCTGGGTTTGACAGCAGTAACGGTGGAGTCTAATCCCACCGCGGCCCGAGTGGCTCACAGAGCACACAGGCAGCCCAGGAGAGCTGGCGAATTTGGGTCCTTCTCTCATTGTAAGTATTGACTCTTGAGCCATATCCTCTCAGCCTCAGAGCAGCAAGTTTAGAGCACAACCTCGGTTCCAACTTGGTAATAAATGGGTCCCGCGAAACTTCAGCTGGGACGCTGCTGATGTCTCTCACTTGGAAACCAGTTGCTCCCAAAAGCAGGAAGCGGATTTGGTGAACCTGGTCTAACTCAGACACCCACCCGGAGAGGAGCGTCTAACTCAGACACCCACCGGGAGAGGAGTGTGGCTAGAAGAGCCTGGGGTGGGAGCCCGGGCGGGCGAGTGCACACTCTGGCTGCAGGGTGAGGGCCCGTCCCCCTGCCTGGCCCAAGGGTGGGAGCGGAGGCTGTACTCACCGCTGCGGGCTGCTCCCTGGAGGCTGTGGGCTCTGGTGTGGGTGTGCCCGGGCCTCCCTGCTTTATGTAGCTCTGCGGGACTTCCGCCTGCACTCTGACGGCTGCCCGCGTCCTGATTGCCGCACATTCCTGGCCCTGGGATTCCATTGGGATCACTGCTGGCAGGGAGAGGCGGGCAGTGTCCGCTGCATTGACGAAAGACTGACACGGATGTGGTGAAGAGCCTCCTTGTTGGCATGTAATAAACGCCCCAGGGCTTAGGAACAATAGAAGGTTACAGTTAAATTAGGTTATCGCAGTCTCTGGCTCTGTGGCAAAGACCACAGCTCCCTCTTAGCATTTTTTTTACAAGCAGGTCATGGCTTAGCCAGGGGTGAAGAGCCTAACCTTTCTAAGGTATGAGCCTGTGACCTTTCAAAGGTATGAGCCTGTGACCTTTCAAAAGTATGAGTCTGTGACCTGTGTTGCGAAATGGAGCGACGAACTTTGTGTGTGTTTAGCCAACCGTTTTGTGGTTTTTGTGAATAAAAGCGTACTTCTACATCTGGTCAGGGCTGCATTTTGGTCCTTGCTACAGCAGGGAGCTGTAACTGCAGTCGCTGGCCAGCTAATTAAGGCTCCTAAATTCTACCCTTTGGCTCTGGTGGTCGCCTCTTACGGGTTGCCCCGTAACATTTGGAGGCCCCAGCGAGATAAAAATCCAGCCTTGTTGCTGGTGGACGCCCCAGTAAAGGAACCTCCAGTCTCCGGCCCGGGTTCCAGGGAGGCAGAGTGTTTTCCTCTAAATTGCGACCCGAAAAAGCGAGCCACCTGGACCTCCAGTGGGGAGGTGAGAATCTGGTTTCTGGTTTCTGGTTGTGGAATGTTCCCTTTAGGACTCAGAGGAGGGCTGGACGCAGCGGAGCCTCGGAGTCCAACCGCCCGGACGCGACGGCGTCTAGGGGTCCTGGTCTGGGCAACCTTAGGTTGCATTTGTCTGGTTTGTTTTGTCTTTGTTCTTTGTTGTCTTTGTTTTTGTCAAAATGAGTCAGGGATTGTGTGAATGGATTACTGATCTAGGTTATCAAGGATCTCTAAGGGACTTGTCCTGTATCTGGAGGAATGGCTTCTAGATGGTATTCACCATCTCTGGGACTTCCAGGAGGGAAGTCAAAACTCAGACTGGCTAAGGGTTCGAGTCTGACCTGTCTTTTAAAAGAGGTAGAAGGTATAATTATTTGTTCATGTAAGTATGGAAATCTGCGAGAGAGAAAAAACACAACAACACACATTTAATTTAGGGCTGAGTGCTCTGACTGATAGCACAACGCCCCGAGCGGCCGCTGGGTTATTTTCCCAAGGGTGCTTGCTCTCTGTCAGAGGTGGAATGGGCCCGCCTAACTAGTAAGAATTTCTGTCTATGTTTGTTTACTAGGGACTTTGATTTGCTCTGTGATTTTGCTGTGTTGGGTTGGAATTTTGGGATTCTGGGGTAGATTTAAAGGTATTTGTGGCTTTTCTAGTCTGATTGGGACATTCAGGGGTGGGCTCACAGCTCGTCAGGGCAGAGAGATTTTATGGGCCCCGCCCCCTGCCAGTGCTGAATTAAGGATCTTTTCTTTCAGGAGACCCTCCAGGCTTTTCGTAAAATTTCCCTGCACCCTTGTCATCCTCTGCCTTCTTTTCCAGGTCGACTAAGAGTCATTTACCTCCACAGGGATTGTCTTCCTCTAACTCACAATAGGAAATAATACAGGCCAGTGTCATTTGGCTTGCTGGTTAAAGGAAGACAACGGGCCCTGGAATCTGTAAGGGTGGGCGGGAATGAAGCTGTTCAAATGTACTGAAAGGGTTCGGTACCTGTTGCTGCTAGCAGAGGAGGGGCTGATATCCCCTTCCAGTGCACTCCTTGGGAGAGACCTGATCGCTGCTCTGCCACAGGGGCCTGGTACCCAACAATGGCAGGGGCCTGGTACCCAACCCACTGCCACAGGAGCGCTTCGTAATATGCAGGGCATGTTTTCCCTGGCCAGCATAAGGGCCGCTGGCCCTCACCATGCCACCGTCGCTGGCTGGAGGCAAGTGCTTTTTCCAGGGGGAGCAGAGAGAAAAGGACTGCCAGATGAAAATGCTTTCTCCCCAGGTTCCCCCCGTGGCGGGAGCACCTCCACTCATGACCTGTGCCCAGCTCCCTGCCTCCACCTATCCAGCTCCCATCTCCTGAGACCTCTGCTCACTGGGGTTGCAATTGCCTTTTTGATAAAGCCTTGAGCTTGGACCTACTTGCCTTTAGACAGGAGCATCCAGAATGTACCCTACTCCAGTATGTAGATGATCTTCTGCTGGCAGCAGATACTGAGGAAAATCGTGAACAAGCCACTGAGGGCCTGTTAGGCGGCACCTTACAAGCATTAGGCTACCAGGTGTCAGCGAAGAGGGCACAGTTGTGCTCCTCTGATGTCACATACCTGGGGTACGACATTAGCAAAGGCAGACGGATCCTCTCCCTCAGTCGAATAGAGGCAATCTTACGGATCCCCATGCCTACAACCAAGAAGCAGGTTCGGCAATTCTTAGGGGCAGTTGGATACTGCCACCTGTGGATACCGGGGTTCGCGGTGATTGCTAAACCTTTATACTCAAGTACTCGGGGAACGCAGCTGCTAAACTGAACCGAAGTGGAACAACGGGCTTTTGAGGAGCTAAAGAAGGCTCTTGTCTCAGCACCTGCCCAGCCTTGCCAGACGCCAGGAAGCCCTTCCACCTCTATGTGAGTGAGGTAAGGGGCATTGCCAAAGGGCTTCTCACCCAGACTCTAGGTCCCTGGAAGAGACCTGTGGCCCATCTGTCTAAGAGACTAGACGCCAAGACGGGAGCAGTTATGTTCAGGATGAAATCTGGTATACAGTGGGCGGTGGGAGTCACCCTAGACCGCCCAAGGAAACCAAGCTGCAGACCAAGCTGCCAAGGAAGCCGCCCAAAAACCCGTGGGGCCTTTACACGAGGAGGAATTGGCAGAACAGAAGCAAGCCACCAGAGGACCAAACGGTTGGTGGACTCTACCAGATGGCAGACTGCTGGTCCCAGAGGCTCTAGGTCAGACTTTAGTTGCCCAGTTACACCAGGCTACCCACATAGGCGTCACCAAGACTTCTGAACTCCTGCGAGGCGGTACTATCTACCAAGCTTAGATAAGATAATTAAAAGCATAGTCAGTAGATGTACTGTCTGTGCACAGGTAAATGCTAAGCAAGGTAGGGGGGTCCCCCTGGGAATTCGGGCCCAGGGAACTCCCCAGGAGAGCTTTGGGAGGTATAAGTATGGACTCCTTCTCGGGGTGGGGTGAAGCCTATCCCACCAGGACAGAAACTGCCTCTATAATGGCCAAGAAATTACTCCAGGAGATTATACCTAGATTTGGGCTACCCGCAGTCACAGAATCAGATAACAGCCCCGCCTTGGTACCAAAGTATAGCTCAAGTCTTAGGCATGAATTGGAAACTCCATTGTGCATACCAGCCACCGATTCAGGGCAGGTATGAACAGGACTCTAAAAGGACTTTAACTAAATTTATCCCAGAAACCGGTGAAAACTGGACCAACCTCCTGCCTTTGCCCACTTACAGGCCAGGTGTATCCCCAACCGGGAGGGGTTCTCTCCTTTTGAAATCGTGTTTGGTAGACCTCCCCATCTCCTGCCCAAAGTTAGGGGAGGAATTAAAAGCTAAAAGTCATAACCATTCCTTGCTCAAGTCCTTGCAGGCTCTGCAGTATACCCAGAGAGCCACCCATAAGCTTGTGTGAGACGCCCTGCCAGTGCCCACCTCGGACCCTGTACATCCTTTCCAGCCTGGGGACTCGGTGTGGGCAAAGAAGTTCACTACCCAAGGACTCACCCTAACTTGGAAAGGACTATACAATGTCGCCCTGTTGACGGCATCCAGACCTGGCTACACCACTCCCAGCTCCTGCACCAGGAAGCGGCCTGGATCCCGGCAGCCAGCGGCCTCGCCAGTGAGATCCCTAGCCTGGGCTCCACGCAGGCCAGGAGGAGGCTGGACGCCCGCAGGAGGGGAACTGGGCTTCAGTGAGGACCGTACCAATGCGGACCGTGGCACTAGGGCACTTGGTACCTGTAAGAACAGTTTTACCAGCCAGTGAGAAAGTCCAGGGCCAAGTGGGGCTCGATGTGCTAGGGGACAGGAGAGCAGGAACAGAATAGAGAATGCCCCTAAAAGACGTGGGGTGAGTACATAGAACTAAAATGTGCCACACAGGCAGTTTAGAAAAATTAATTCGGTCAAACCACTTGTAGTTAGGGAGGCAGTACAATCCCCTCACTAATAAGGATGAGTCCAAGATTTGACTCGTGTACATAATGCCAGTGGGGAATGAAGTGTGGCAGCAACCATCTCAGGTGGAAACTGGAGTTTAACTCTAACCCTGCTGTTGGGCTTAACCATAGAAAAGTTACTTTGATTTTCTGAATTATATAAATCATCCCATTCGATTGAATGCCTTATTGATTGTAATGTGAACATCCCATTGATTGTGATCTTACTGCTTTTAGAAAGCAAATTCCTCTGTACCTGGGAACCAGGACTGCACAACTGTCTCGAGACCTGAGGGTTCCAGATAATGTTTCTGTCAACTCAGTGGTCCTTCGGAACAGAAGAGGGCGGGACCTTCTGTCCTTAAGCAAGGTGGACTGTGTCTCGCCTTAGGAGAAACCTGCTGTTTTTGACACCAACCACTCAGGGGCCATTAGAGAACGTCTCCGTCAGCTCCGGAAAAGACTAGCAGATCGGGAGGAGGCCCGGCGGGCGGAGGGCAACTGGTATGGAAACCTTTCCTCCTGGGCCCCTTGGCTGACCACGCTCCTGTCGTCCCTAGCGGCCCGGTAATCCTCCTGTTGCTACGTCTCCTTTTTGGCCCCTGCATCGCCAAATGCCTCCTCAGTTTCATACAAAATCGAATACAGGCTGTAAAGTTGATGGTTTTACACACCCAGTACTCCAGAATCTTAGAGGAGGATGCTGAATCGAGGATTTGATTCCCGTAAAGACCAGTAGGGAATGTAATAAACGCCCCAGGGCTTAGGAACAATAGACGGTTACAGTTAAATTAGGTTATCGCAGTCTCTGGCTCTGTGGCAAAGACCACAGCTCCCTCTTAACATTTTTTACAAGCAGGTTATGGTTTAGCCAGGGGTGAGGAGCCTAACCTTTCTAAGGTATGAGCCTGTGACCTTTCAAAGGTATGAGCTTGTGACCTTTGACCTTTCAAAGGTATGAGCCTGTGACCTGTGACCTTTCAAAGGTATGAGCCTGTGACCTTTCAAAGGTATGAGCCTGTGACCTTTCAAAAGTATGAGTCTGTGACCTGTGTTGCGAAATGGAGCGACGAACTTTGTGTGTGTTTAGCCAACCGTTTTGTGGTTTTTGTGAATAAAAGCGTACTTCTACATCTGGTCAGGGCTGCATTTTGGTCCTTGCTACAGCAGGGAGCTGTAACTGCAGTCGCTGGCCAGCTAATTAAGGCTCCTAAATTCTACCCTTCCCCTGCACACCCCCTACGGGGGATGTGTCCGCAACCAAGGTACATGCCCTTGACCGGAATCGAACCTGGGACCCTTCAGTCCTCAGGCCGACGCTCTATCCACTGAGCCAAACCGGTTCGGCAATAAAAGCGTACTTCTACATCTGGTCAGGGCTGCAGTTCGGTCCTTGCTCCAGCGGGGAGCTGTAACTGTAGTCACTGGCCAGCTCATCAAGGCTTCTAAATTCTACCCTTTGGCTCTGGTGGTCGTCTCTTACGGGTTGCCCCATAACAGGTGGAGAGTGGGCAGCAGCATTAACTGAGTCAGGGCACAGGCCCTGGAGTCCCCTGCAGGCGGCGTCGGTGCCCACCCTAATGACCCCAGCGCCCCGCCTTGGTCAGGGCTGCCCGCCTTCCTGAGAAGCTACGCCTCCCACACCAGCTGCCTGGCCGGCGCCGCTCCCTGGGCTCAGGAATTCAGGCCCCTGTGAACCGAGATGGCCTCTCACTCGTTAGGTGAGAGTTGCCGGGGGCCACAGGTCACCGGCTCTGGAGGCCCCCCAGGTGTCGGTGCCCTGAGGCTGAGCCAGAAGTGGGAGCCCCATGAGAGGCAGCGCAAGGGGCCCGGAGCCCGAGCCCGGGCGAGCCCTCCCGTCACCCCGTGCCTGGCTCAGCACCTGCACCTTTGGGCCAGAAGGGCTGCTCTGAGGGGCTGGCCCGGTGTGTGCGTCCACGTGTGCGTGTGTGTGCACGGAGGGGGTAGGGCGGGGCTGTCACTTGATCTGCATACTCAGTGCTGGTTGGTCATGACACTGGGTGCTGGTTAAAGATGGGTGAGGCCCTAACTCGATGTGAGGCCTTGGGCCAGACACTTGCCCTCTCTGGGCCTCAGTTCCCCCAGCTGTGCTCTTCAGAGTCCTCGGGACAGCTGCGGAGGGGAGGAGGGGAGCTGTGGGGTCAGACCCCAAGGGCACCTCCCTGCCTGGGAGAAAGCTCCCTGGGCTGTGAGACCCAGGGGCTCAGGCCGAGGCTCTGCTGTGAGAACAGCCGCTCGCCCGGGGTCCCTTTCAGGCCTGGGACTGGGAACAGGTTCTCTGGGATGTGGCCTCTGAAAGTCCCGAGTGTTGGGCACAGGTTTGGGGTGGGGGCCAGTTTGGGGGAGACATGCGGAGGCCCCCATGTGGCCCCTGGTTCCTCAGCCCAGCCCCAGCCTCCACCCGGTGGAGGTGCCTGGAGCCAAGTCTGATGGTGGATTTGGTGCCAAACGTCACAGCTGCAGGTTTCCCAGGTCCTCCCAGAGCACCGGGCCCAGGAGGGTTTTCCTGGGCACTTCCTGCTCTTCAGAGCCTCCGGGGTCTCCCCCCGGGAATTAGTTCCCCACTCAAGCAGCTGGGGGGTAACAACTGTGACACTTTCTACCACCCCGAGACTCAGGGCCTCCAGCAGGGGCGGTGGGCGGGGGGCAAGGGGGTGCGCCGCCTGCAGCTGGGTCTCAGGACGTCACCTTTCAGGCCGGCTTCCACAGCCCAGGTGCTTCGGAGCTCAGGGCACAGGGGGCGCTGCGGCATTGGGAGAGGGGGCTCCTGGGAAGCCATCCGGAGGAGGGTCGGGGCGTGTCTAGGAGGCCCACACTGACCCGTAGCTGTCCTCACCTCGGAAAGTGTGGGCTGAGACTGGGCCAGGTCAGGGCCTGGTGGGTGACTGCCCGGTGCTGCCAAGCGCCGGCCCCGCTGGCTCTCAGATCGCCCCCACTCTCAGCCCCACACGAGCGCCGCGAACCGGGACCACGCCTGCCCAGCCACGCACCAACTGTGGCCCCAGCAACTCCGGTCACTCTCTGAGCCTCGCTTCTCCCTGACGGGGTAACAGTGCTGCGCACGTACGGGGAGGCAGGGGAGGCGGCGGCCGCTGGTGTTCAGGGGCCTGGACGGTGCCTCTGTGGGCCCAGCCCTCCAGGGGTGCTGGCTCCCCCTGTCATGGGCACCCCTCCTGTCTGTGTTTGGCACTGTGTGTGGCTAAACCACACGCATCCCGTCAGCCCTGAGGACCTGTGACCGAATCACTGCATCTTCCCAGGTGGCCCCGCGAACCGAGCCAGAGCAGCACCCTGACGGGGGTACAGCCACTGGGAAGGGACCAAGCTGGGCAAGGCTGTCACCTGGGGCCCGTGTGGCCTGTGGAGAGGCAGGTGGCCATGGTCGCCGCGGTCACTGCCAGTGGCCTGGCTCATCCCCAGGTGTTCTGTGGGCCCGACACGGAGCTGCCTGAGCGGGCGGGACTGTGTGCCTGTTGGCCGAGGACACTGGAGGGGCCTCGTGCTCCTGCCACGCGGGGACGAGCAGACACACACTGGGTGCGCGGGCGGCCCGGGGCCTGGACCCACTCGGGGCCTCCCGCACAGGCACTCGGGAAGTCCTGGCTTTTATTAAATAAGCTCAGGGCACTGTTTTGTCTTTAAGCCTCAAATTAATTTATGAATAAATAGCCATTAGGGGCTGTTCTTAAGACTCGCTGCTCCTCAGGACTCCAGCCCCAGCCACAGGGGACCCACAGGGATCATCTGTCACCCTGGGGACCGTGATGGGATGCACAGGTAGCGCAGCCCGGGTCACCCTGCAGCCCAGCCCCTGGGGTCCACGCTGTGCCAGACCCATCTCATGCTCCCGTGTGGGCACCGAGCAGGCTCAGAGGCGAGGCCCGAGCCAGGTCACCACAAGACTTTATTGGAGACGGGGACACACAACGCCAAGGGCGCTCGGCCCAGACTGGCTTCATCTGGCCGCACACGAGGCTTCATCCGTCGGCAGCTCTGCCGGCCCTCAGGCTCCCTCCCACCCACCCAGCCACCTTAGGGTCAGGGCCAGCCCAGGGCCCCCGCTGCCCACCCCCAAGTCCCACCAAGTCCGAGCTCAGCCCCAGGTTTGTGGGTCCTGCCAGCTGCCTGGCCCCCTGGCGATTGGGAACAGCCCTCTCCCTGCAGCAGATGAAGAAACGGAGGCCCGGGCGCCTTGGCCACTTGGACCAGGACCTAGTGTCCTTTGTTCTGGGGTCAGTGTGTCCACTGACGTGTCCTCCTGCCAGCACGTTGCTCCTCAAACTCCACAGGACAGCTCGTGGGCCCCGCTCGCGTCCCCCTGGCACAGCGGATGCAACCGGCAGCTCCTGCGGACACCCCTCGCCAGTCCTCCGAATCCCAGCTCCCGGGTCTCTGGCCCAGCCAGGCAGCCAGAGGCCTGTGCGCTGAGGGAGGCAGTGCGGGTGGAGGGCAGGAAGGGTGGACACTGGCGATACCACCTCTTCCCCAAAACAAACGTAAAACCTATTTATACGCGGCTGCAGATGCAACGTGAGAACTGCTCGCAGCGCTGTCCTTGTCGCCTGCTGACCGCTGTGGTCGTCAGGGTGGAACCCAGGTCTGTCCATCCTCAGGTCTCGGAGCTCAGCCCAGCTGGTGGCCTCTGGTTGAACTCAGGTGCATCCGGAGTTCGGAAGGCAAGGCCCGGGGCCACTGGCGATTCCCCAGAGGCTGTCTGTGCTCGCGGAGGAACCTGCGGAATATGGGGTGTGCACTGCCTCCAGAGCCCAGTGTGGACACCCCTTTCCTGCAGGCTCCTCTCATCGAAGGAGGAAGCACGGGGCAGGTGACAGGGGACAGCAGGGCCACAGGCTCCCCACCAGCAAACTGGGGTTCTAACGCGGCGACCACAGTCCTGGGTGATCTGCACACGTCTGTCTGTCTGTCACCCTCAGGTCCTGGTGGAGCTGCCCCCTCCACTGGCTCTCCCAGCGTCTGTTTTCCTGTGGTCACTCCTGTGTGGCCACCCGCTGACGCCATAGTGTGGGCTCCTCCAGGCCTGGGCCCTGGCCTGCCTCGCTCACGGCAGCCTCCCGGCCAAGTGGGTGCGCAGGGCCCCGCCTGTGCTCAGCACGGCCTTGTAGGGGTGCCCTCTGGGAAGGGGGGCGCTGGCCTGCTGTCCCCACCACGATGGGCTTCATGCCCGTTCAGCCAGCGTTGGGCCAGGCCACGTTCCCTGGTGATGCCAGGCCTGGGCTGCGAGTGGGGCTGGTGCTCTTGAGCAGGGAGGGCGGGTGTCTCCAGGCTGGCCGCCCTCACCCGTCCCTCTGCCAGGCCGAGCTGTGGCACGTCAGTTCCTCTGCCAGGCCCTGGCGAGCCCCGAGCCTCCCGAACATCACTCACCAGGCGTCTGTTTGATGACGGATCAGAAAGCACCTGGCACTTTCCACACAGCGGCTGGCTCTGCGAGGCTGGCATGAGGACCAGCTCAGCCTGGGGCTGCTGGGGAGGGGCTCCCAGCTCGAGCACTCGGGGTCCCCCCACCTCTGCTCCTTGGCTGGAGGTCCCGCAGCCTATGGTGGTGGGGGGCTGGCTCTCTATATCCAGAGGATGGGAAAGGGGGCCAGCAGAGGGTTCGCTTCAGGTAGAGTGTGGTCCTCAAATCCCCCATCCCTGGTCCTGCCTGTCTCTGAGCTGCTGCCATTGGTCACACCGGCTATAAGCCCGTTTCTTGGCCGTCTCTGCTTTGAGCTGAGTGCCAAGAGGCGGGACTTGGTCTTGGCCAGCACCAGGGTGGGCCTTGGCCGCAGCAGATGTCCATCCAACAAACCTTTGCTGACCCGAGGTGGCAGCGTGAACAGTCACCAGCAGGGGGCGGCCACCCCCGCAGAGGCAGTCTCTGGGCAGAAGGGCAAACAGCCACCAAACTCCTCCAAGTCCAGCCTCCACCCCCCAGGCCAGGCCCTCGGGAGTCAGGATCCCGGAGTCCCTGGAAGTTCGGGGAGGTACAGCCCCTGCCCGTCCATGCCCAGACCAGTGGTTTGGGACCTGCCCCCTCCTCCCACCAGCAGAAGGGAGTGGGGCAGGGCTCCCAGAAGGGCAAGAGGCTGGGCACAGCAGCCAAGGGCACTGGGGACCGCCCAGGCCTGCGGGGACAGGGGGTGGCTGGGTGGGGACTTCAGGGCACCGGCCTCAGCCATCTTGGGGCATGAGTTCTGGCAGGCGCTGAGCTAGAGCCTCGCCTGGGGCACGGTGGGTGGCGGCCAGCAGGTGGCCATGGGCACCCCCAGCACCAGCTGCTCCCCAGGGCTCCTGTGGGGGGGAGGGGGGATCTCCAGGCACCATGGAAATGAGGGAGAGGTCGGGAGGACCACCGGAGGCTGGCTGTGAACCCCAGTCAGATCTGAGCATTCCTCTGCTGCTGGGGGTGGGGGGCGCTCCAGGGGGCGCCGTCCCCTCCTCCCTGTGCCCCAAACGCTGGGTGCTTGGACTGGCTAAGTGGAGGGGCTGCCGTAAGTGGGTGCGGACTAGGCCCAGAGAAGACAGACAGCCCAGCAGCCAGAGTCTGGGCAGGTGGAACTGTGGGCCGTTTGCCCGCCCTGCATCAGAGGCAAATTGGGGTGAAGGGACGGGGTGCAGGTGATGTGCAGTCTCACTCCCAGGGGGCTGTGTGTCGGGGGTGGCCTGGTCCTCCCCAAGGCAGTGCGCTCAGCCGGGGCGGGCGGGCGACTACAGAGCAGGACCCAGGACGGGGCGGGTGGAGGACGGAGGGGGCGGTGCGGGCGGGGCGGCGGGAGGCGTGCGCGCCGCGCAGGTACTGCCCGTTGAGGTTGGACGTGTGGCAGTTGCGGTACCACCAGGCGCCGCGGTAGAAGGCGGCGCAGTTGTGGTCCGAGTGGTCGCTGTCGCGGTCCTTGGTGGTGAAGGGCAGGCCGCTGTGCCTCAGGAGGGAGTCCCCTGCGGGCACAGGGCGCTCAGGGCCCGTGGGCGCGATGCACCCCCTGGCACGCGCGTGCACACACGTCCACACGTGCCCCCGGTTTACACGCGGTGTCCATGCAGGGTCCCCCCGGCTGTCCCTCCTCACACGCCCTTCCCTGCTCTCTCGCCTCTGCCTCAGAGGAGGACCCAGCCCCGAGGACGGGGGCGCCTCGCTCTGGAGGCCAGGGGCCCACACCCCAGGTGCCCTGGTCTGCACAGGGAGCACTCCAGCTGGACGCGGACCAGCTGGGACGGGGCCGGGA